ATAAATATTGTAAGAGACACTTGGAGTATGTGTAAACAGAGAATTTAGGCCTACTAACACCATTATCTCGCTGACTCATGCTGTTGTTTTTGGAAATAATTATTCTCTGTAAACATTTTCTCATGTTTGTCCATTCAAGCTAGCCAATTACCTTTTACAGTGAGTAAACGTACTGTACATCCAGTATGTTTGGGTGGATTTTATCTGTGGTGAAAAAAATCACTTATAAATGTGTGGTTATGTTTGGATAATGGCACGCTAAGCTGTGGCTACTTTTCAGTGCTGTTTACGGCTAAATGGATCTTCTGTATTAGTTTAGCTGTTTGGTAAACTTCCTGTTTTCCTGTTCCTGAGATACAGAGAGAAGAGAGGAAGAGAGAGAGAAGAAAATTATAGATATTGATTACATTTATGATTTAATTGATTATTAAATTATTAACAGATGAATCATTAAGTGGCAGAAAAATTAAGATCAATTACAATCATGCTCTGCTGCCCATTTCCGCAGTGGTACTCGAGATATTTCAAATGAAAACATGGAGAAAAGGTGGAAGAGGACAAATGCTATACAGCCCAGAGAGGACTGAGCATGCACTATTATATCACAGTTGAGAGAGAGACCAGGGGCTTTATTCACAAAGCTCCTCAGGATAGGAGTCTGGCCTAAGATCACGGGTCAGCTAGCCGTGAAACCTTCACTTTCACTTAGGACTGTAGTAACAGAGAGAAAGAAGAAATGGAAAAGAGACCACAGCCATAGTAAGGGGGGCAGAGAGAGAAACACAATGTGTATAATATATGGTTCATGACAGGTATGCAGACAGAGGGCAAATGAGAAATAATGTCTGAGAAGGAGCAAAACTACACCTTGCTGCAGCTTTACATCCTCATGGTTTGAATTGATGCTTAATCATAAATTATTGCTCTCCTTGTTTTAGCTAAACACAAGCACTTCTAAAGGATGCAACACGTCAACAATGTTCCTTCATTACCATAAGCACACACAGTGCCCTGAAGCCGTAAATACTCACGAAAGAAGCAAATGTGTATTAATCCACTGCTGAAAATAGTTCCCCACAGAAACAAATTGTACTTCTGTTTGAGTAAGATTTGCTAAAAAACTACTGTGCCCAGCTGTTTAAGGAAGTGTTTTATGACAATGAAACTTGTAAACCATTTGTAAAGATTTACATCTTCAATATAAACCAATGAGCTTAGAGTTCCACAGATAGGGTTAGGAAGTCAGAAAGTATTAGAAGAGAGACTAAAGTGTGAGTTTGGTGTTTTGATGGGGTTTGTTGACTACACCAGGTTTCAAAGGTTTGTTCAGTAAATTTTCCAAAGCGTAAGTTGAAACAACTTTACATTTTCTTACATTTGCATTGTTTTTAATCCCTAATGTGAATATCTAACAGTACCACTGTAATGTAAATTATAGGAATAAAAATTTAATACAGCTGTTAATTCTAAAATTGTAAATCCAATTACCTTTGACTTTCTCAATAGCCTGATAGAAAACCTTCATAGTCCTCAATGTGAAGCAGAAAATTCTATTACAGTTCTTTCCTAAAACACATGCATTTTCACAAAATTGTTGGGAACATTATACATCATGCCTTAAAGAAGCATAGAATATAGATGTGATGCACAAAACAAAAAGAGAGCTAGGCTACATACAGCCCTGTAGGATGTATCTGCCTCAGAAAAACCTTGGCAAAGCAGAAAAATATTCAATTCTTCTGTTCTTTGTTTTAGTGCAAAACAGTATCAGATAAATACTGAAACAACATTAAACTGTGACTTCACAGTCAATAATACAATTACAATATAATTACAACATTTTGCAAATAGATGAAAAGAAAGAAAGAATTGACAATAAAATACGGTTAATTTAAAACAAAAATAGGTGTTTGTCTATTTTCAGCTATGAAATATGGCAGTATGTTTAGAGGGAGATGCTAATTAAATATCTGTATTACATGAGTATGCCATTGTCTGTTTAATTCACAGTTTTTACATGCCTGGATTTTCTAGCACATTACAGTGTGAGGTTTAGTCAAACATTGCCAGTCAATCTCTTGCATTGATGGGCAGCCTTGACCCTCTGGTCAAATGAAAACTTCTCCGAAAAACATGTAAATTTCTCGGCAACAGTTTACCTTAATTCCCCCCTTTTAGCATTTATGGGCCTCATATAAACATTTAATAAATGGTTTATAACACACTGTAGTTAAGTTATAAAGCAGATGTAAGTGTTTTTTAATACATTTGTCAACAGCTATAACTTGGGCACCCGTAAGTGTAGGCTGGTGTATCAACCGATAATGAATGAATATAGTAAAATACCATTGTAATAATATAATCAATACTGTCCATTTAAAATGTCCTTATAGCTGCATTATAATATGTTATGAACAATTTATTATATGTTTATATACTGCTCATAAATGCTTATAAAGTGTTACAGATTTTTCAGATTGTCTAATGGGCTTTTAAAAGGTCTATTTAGCTTAAGATAATTTTTATCAATCTATAAAGGAACACTAAATCCTTCCGTTTATCTTAAAAAAATCTAAATCACCAGATTTAGTGATAGATGGTTTTTATTGGATGAGAAGCACGTTCAAGTGCTAAATGTAAGTGGCAATTATTCTGTGTGTGGGAGTAAAAGAAAGCAAAGTCCTTCATTGATCTATTATTTAAAACATTCTCTGTCAGTTAAGAGAAACATTTGTGCAGTTAATGCATATAGAAGGTGTGTGTCTTTTCCATGATAATAAAAATGATCATAGCTTGCACACAAAGTGAACAAATGCTTTTGTCAAATGCCTTGTCAGCCTTTATTACACTTCCATATCACACACTAATAACACCTTTAATGCCAACAGGAATTGAAATAGCTATCACACATCGTGATTATAGTGATCTGTTAGGATGTCAGTGAAAACAAACACAATGTAATATCCTGATGGGAGGCAAGGGGGAGGTTTTTTGTCTGTGATTTTTAATGAGAATATCAACCCTGTCAGTAATAGGCAGCTGATTATAATGAGGTTCTCTGCTCTACGCACACTTCTCCTTTCCTCCCTCACATACCATCATCATCCCTAAATATAATGTGGACACCATTTTCCTGTTTATACTGTAGATTTTGTGTGCAATTTGTGTGCCTCCTCTGTTTCCATGGCAAGTACAGGCTCTATGTTAGACCACATGGAGATACAAGTGAGCATGAAGTTGAATGTGAAAGAAACATCATTGGGAAACATAATTGGTTTCAATTTGAAATGTATTTTCTCACTTTCATTTCCTCTCTGTATTTTCTTTCTGGTGGCTTTCATGTCCCTATAGCTCAAAGACATAGTGCCATCTAGTGTGCGCTGCGGACGGTTGCATGCCAGGGGCTGCTTGTTGCAGTGGTGTTACTTATTCATGGGCAATGCGCAATGAAGTGAGAGCCAGACTTTCCTCAGAGGCATGTTTAAAAAGGCTCAACCTTTCCTCTTCTATTTCTCCTTTAAGCATCAGACATTTGAGGTATTTTAAGTTCATCCTCAATGTACTGTGATTTTGTTCCCAGTTGATTCCTTTTAGTTACAGTATCTTTCTCAATAGCAAGCTTTATGTAACTGCTCAACTGTATTTGCAGTGGTTTGTTGAAATAGGAAACATTGCACATTCACTCTCTATAATGGACATATGGCTGAGTACAGTTTTGTGCAAGAATACTGCACATGTATTGAGAAATAATTAGGATCATCTCAGCCTATTGAAAAAGTTGGATTTTTTTTCAGCTACATGAAACATGGCAGTACCATGTTTAGTGGAGGCGCTAATTAAATATTTAGATCACATTCCCAGTTTAATTCCCAGTTTTTACAGGCCTGTTTTTGCCAGCAGATGCTAAGAAAAACTGTGATTCTCTCACTTGTTAAACTAAACTTAATGTGTGAGGTTTAGTCAAACATTGCCAGTCAATCTCTTTGCATTGAGTGCAGCCTTGACCCTCTGGGCAGTATCAGAGCTGCTGAAGTGCTTTGGCATCAGTGTGACAGGATTAACACATCAAAAGCAGAGTCGGGGCCTACAGCAGCGTCACACAGTCAGTACAGCACCTTTCATGTTCTGCTCAGGTTCACTACAATTTCACATAAGCCAACAGCAAGTCAGACGGAAAAAGATAATGGGGCCAACCTGCTGCTATCAGGCTTTCCCTCAGCTTCAGTGAAATATGTCAAATTCTGTGTTTGATGAAAGATTGGAGTTCAACAGGCTCAAGTCAGGAAACGATATCTGACTGTGTCACATGGTTGGGATGCAAAGGAGCATTTAAGTCTGACATTGAAGCTGAAATTATTGCTGCAAGCCTCCATGGTCTTACTTTTCATGATGCAAACATTCGATAGTCAACATAGAAGGAAAATTAAACCGAAATAATTTTTTGGGAGTCAGAGAGTTAAAGTGTCTCAGGGTTAAATCCCAAAATGTATAATCGCTTTGACAAGATGTGGTAATAAGTGCATCCAGAGTTTAGAAAAAGACTAAAACTCAGTTAGGACACAAAATAGTTAACCTTTTTTCATATATTTCAGAAGCTTCAAGGAGATCTTTCAGTGTCTGTATTTTTTCTCAGATGCTTTTACAAGGCCATATGTTAATTAGTAATATTGTTGTAAGGCTTTAAGGGGTACAGCTTAAATAAAGAAATCGGGCTGTGTGGGAGGGTTGTCATCAACATATAAAAGAAAAGGCATTGGTCACACTCTACTGTCTTTTTTATTTAATTTTCTTGCTCGGGAGGGATTCCAAATTGGATATATATATATATATATATATATATATATATATATATATATATATATATACAGTACATATATATACACACAGTATATTTTTACTCGGCTGTAACTCTAAGGCTGCAACTCCTATATTGGAACACAGACTTGATTTGTTTGCAGACGTTTTTTCCCCCCCATCTAACGACCCCTGTCTTTGCTTAGGTGGTTGACATAAAAGAGAAACTGAAGCTGTCAAAGAAATTTTGGTCCAACCTGCCTGAGGCAATGTGCGTGGAGGACAGAGTGACCGCTGGAAATGCCAGCGATGAGGAGTGCTGGAATGGACACACCAAGGGCAGGTAAGTGCGCCAGAGTCCTGGGCTAATGCAGGCTAATACAAAAGGTTACTTATAAGTCCAAAGTCCATTCAGCTCGACTAATGTTAATCAGTCTGATCCCAGAATTAAGGACCAGATTTAATACTTTCCCTGACTCAAACTCAAACTGTGCGAGACCTCGGCATATTTTGACTGTGATTGGTCAACTAAACAAACGGAAAGTGTTTTTTTAAATACTCAAGAGTTGATCGTTCTGGTATGGATTCACCCTTTACTAGGCAAGGCAAGGCAACTTTATTTGTATAGCATATATTATACACTGAGGCAATTGTTTGAAGAAAAAAATACAATAAAGGTAAAACAATTTAGATTAAAGTTCACAATTAAGTGGAAAAGTACAGACAGGATACACAAATTTAAAATATAAATTGCAGAGTGAATTACAAAAAATCACAAGTATGTTAAAAACACTTTTACAAGAAAACAAGAAATCTGAATAAATATATGTATTGTTTACTTGTTTTAAGCCTGATTTAAAGGATGTAATGTGGATGCAGAATTTCTGGAAATTTATTCCAGGCATGAGGGGCATAAAAGTAAAAGCTGCTTCTCTATACTTTGTTCTGACCCTGAGTAACAGTAAGCAGACCATCACCTGAATAACTGAGAGGTCTGGCAGGTTCATAACATTGCAGGAGATCACACATGTATTTTGTTCTTAACCCATAAAGTTTTTTTTAAACATGCAACAGAATTTAAAACTCACTTCTGTGCCACCCTGGCAGCCAAAACAGATCTCAGCACTGGTGTGACACGGTCCATTTTCTTAGTCCTGGTTAAAACCCCAGCAGCAGCATTCTTGATTAGCTGCAGTTGTCTAATAGCTTTAGTAGAGAGACCTGGAAAGACATTATTACATTAGTCAAGCCCAATGCTTTGGACATGAATTCTTTAATTATTGAGATATTTTTATGGTGATAGGCAGATTTAGTACTTGCCTTGATGTGTTTGTTTAGGTTTGGGTCAGATTCCATAAGGTTTCAAGGCGAACAGTCACTTCACCTCTTTAGCACCAAAAACAATGATATTTATTGCAATTTCAGTGTAATCTTTTTAATTGGTTTTGATGCTTTTTGCATATTTTTATTTTATGGAGTTGTGTTTTCATTCATTCTTAAACATGTGCAACCAGCATGGGTTCTCCCTGTTAATCTTATTTCATTTTCAAGGGAAATAGTTGCACGATCGCTCCAAATCCCCACAGCCAGGGCTGAGGTAAATTGATTGATTGTGCTGTTTTAATTCATAACATCAAATGTATGATCAAAAGATGTTCAGCATTCATATTTTAAATTATCTGAATAACTCTTATAATTTAATCCTGGACGTGGAAGCTGCTGCTATTCACTGTGTGACCAAAAAGAAATTACAAGTGAAATCAGTCAAGGGAGCCAGATGTTAGTGAATGGGCTCATGGGAAACAACCACTGTTGTGTGAGGAGATTTGTGGTATGCCCTCACATGATGGCCTGCTGCAGCAAGAATGCAGGCAGATAACGTTTTCCCTGGAGAAATAGCTCACAAGCACAATATGTCAGAAGGCTACCCAACATGATTAGGTCACATTTGACCAACACTGTTATAACCTCAAAGAGCTACTCTCAGCATGACACTTCATTTCACCCTTAGCCTTGCTCTGGCATTGCTCATTGACACAGGACTCGTGAAAATTCTTTGTCTAGGGTCACAAATATTCTTTTTCTATTCACTAATAAGCACTCACTGGATTCCTTGTCAAGCATCTTGTCAAAAATAATACATCAAGTTTATTTTATTTGTTGTATTCTTCAACCTAAAAGGTACTTCCCTGAAGTTCAAAAGGACGGATTGACCAACCAGGTTAATAACCCTGAGGTGGGTGTGGACATCACTCGCCCAGACACCTTCATCCGCCAGCAGATCATGGCTCTGAGGGTGATGACCAACAAGTTGAAAAATGCCTACAACGGCAACGACATCTACTTTCAGGACTCAAGTAAGCAATTGGCTGCTTTTCCCATGCACACACATGACAACATGCAACTGTTTTTTTAAGCCAGGAAATGTATTTTTACATTGTCTTGCCCTCCACGCCCTGGTTGGTCGAGCGCATGCTCCAACTTGTCAACTCATCTTGTTAAGATGTCTACTTTGAAACACTATCTAAACTTGAGACACAAAAGACAGCGAAGGAGCAAATAACTACTGCCTGTGTTACTATATATGTTTTATTAATTCTATTGTACATTTTATTTACCACTTTTATAGTTTGTCCAGGCTTTTGAAAGGACAGTTTTCAAGTTAAATTTCATGGGTGGATGTTCACATTTGGGCTGTATGCAATTTTCAGGGCTTTATTTATTTTTGGCCTAATATCTTATTTTATATATTATTATTTAATGGAACTAGCTTGATGAGCAGGAACAGCTAAATGTCAGTCTGTTTTGTTATGGTTTTGCAGGCGATGAAGGCAGTGGCTCAGGCAGTGGCAGCGGCTGCACAGAGGTTTGCCCCACAGAAATGGACGGTGCTGCCACTGAAGCCCCAGTGGTGGAAGCTGACCGGAGCGGGCCTGTGCATGACTCTGCCCAACTCTGTGCACCCTCTGTAGTCCTGCCAACCATGCTGGCCCTCTCAGCCCTGGCACTCCACCGACAATGGAGATAATGCTGGAGGAACCAGCTAAATATGGACAGCAGGGTTATTTTTTTCTTTTTTGCAGTTTTTGTATCCAGGCAGTTTGGAGCTACAGTCAAGCAGACAGTATTCAGGCTGCCATCCTCAAGGCTAGAGGAGTCTGCTCTGAAAAAGAGAGCGGTCATGCATCATGATTTCCCACTTTCCCAAAGATCATGCAGTGCCATCCTTAGACTTGATATTTTGTGGCATCACTTCACCATCTAACACTGATGCCGACCCAACAAACTCTGCTTCAGAGATTTCTTGCACATATGGCAGGTATTAATGTAGGTCTCCATGTGGACAAATATAACATGCGCTTTGATTGTTTTGATTTTTTTAATGCAAAAATTGTTTGTGTTGAAAAATGTTGAGAATGTGGTTATTTGACCTAAGAGAGGCACAATAAGTTAAATATATGTTTAACATTATATTTTGAAACAAATACAAAGGATAATGACCTATATGGCAAAAAATGTGGTTTCTACCTACAATTTTTATTAAATCCTTGTTCCATTGTCAGTCATGTATCACAAATAATTGATTTTTGATGAGAAGTGATTGTATTCATCACATCTGTCATAAATCCGTGTTTGTTTATAGATCAGATGCAGCCACTGAATTATGTTGCTTCATCTAATGTTTATCAATAATTTCAGCATTTGGCAACAGTGTAGGTTACGCTGGGTTGGTCCTGGATCTGTTCTGCTCTTAGCCCTCCACTGAAACTGTTCAACAGCCACCTTGTGCTAAATCTCACATTTTGTTAAAAGGGGTAAGACTGACCTTTTTATATACTCATTTGCCTTGCAACAAATGTATTATCTGCAAAATATTCTTATATTATGCTGGTTTCTCAGGCTTGGTTCCAGGAGTAGACAGTCTGGAGCAATTATGGACACACGGAGAAGGTGTACCAGTAATACCCCCATAGTTATGCTGGTTCTGTAGTGTTGTGGGGTGCATGTCCTGGTTTGTAATCAATTAATGAACGTCAGAGAGAGTTAAACAAATTTTAATCTTTACTAATATATAATGATTGATCAATAATTTATTTCAGTTTGTTTTTTTAATCAGTTGGGGTTTATTTTATCCATTAAGTGAGTTGTTGCCCAGTGTGTTTCCATCCAACCACTAGCGTAAGTAACCTCCTCGCAAAGCCAATTAAAGAGATGCACGCAACTATTTAAAAAAATATTTAAAACATTCTTTTGCATACTCTACTGCCATTATTATCTTGGTCTGTATATGTGTAAATGGACGTGCACATTGCAGCATGAAAGGCACACCCATTCATTACAGAATCACCATCACTGAAGGAAGTCTTGTGTAGCTGTAATATTTAGATTCATTTACAGTCAGTGGGACCGAGGAAGTTTTCTTGTGCATCCTCAGAAAAGTCAGCAAGTATTTCCACAAATATTAAACAGTTTTAGAAGTTCCATGAATTCTGGATTTGCATATACAGGAACAAAAAAGCTGTGTTTGCCACTTTTGCATATGTGATTGAATAGCCAAAGCTTATCCTGTAAGTGCTTTTACAGTGTGGATAGTCATTAAAATGTGTATTGTAGTGTCTAAAAAGCTACAGACTGGAAGACAGTATTAAAAAAGATCAAGTCAAATAGTGCTATTTCTGAACATTTATAACCACAGTTATGTAAAAGCTGAAGAAGTAGCAAACATCACACAGTGGTTACTGGAAATGCAAAGAAAGGGTCCCTAAATTTATCTGTAAAGGTTGAATGGTTATGTCTGCAGCACAGACAGGCTTGAAGCCGACCACAGTCACCTGTGAAATGAGAATCTGTGGAGACTGGACAGGGCTGAACGCTTCAGTGAAGCTCCTCAGTAGAGCGTACTTACAGAGAATGTGAGAGGCCTGGCACTGCTGAGGGGGGCGGACAAAACCAGCCTGTATGTACGTCCACTGTTCTCTGAGAGCCCGCCAGCTCCATAACCACCAGGCCAGCTAAGCATACATATCCAAGGAATTAGCCAGTGTTATGCCCTCAGCAGTATATCAATGAATATTTGTTAAGCTTTTCATTATTGCATTTACATCAGTGTTTGCAGCCACATTGCAGGAACAAAAAAAAAAATAAAGAAAATGTCATAAATGCATTCTTTATTATGAATATTGATGTTACAGGATGCCCTTTTTATGTTTTGTATCATTGAACTTTTAATGGTAATATTTTTGCAAAAAAATATTGAAAATGGATGTCTGGTCTGACGAATAATCTGAAAAATACAATTAGCAGTCAACATTTTTTACAATCAATGCATTGCTATATGACGTCAAATCCTAATGAGGTGAAGTTTATTTGGAGTTTGAATATAATTTCAAACTAAGAGGGGTGAAGAACTAGTTGAGCAAATATGCCTTATTTGTGTTTTGTTACTGTTCTTGAGAATAAATATTTATTAAAAAAAAAACATTCCCATTTGATTGGTATTTGTGGTGATCGTAAAAGAAACTGAGAGGGTACATAATAATAAAAGACAGCTATAGAAAGGGGGTTTTGCTTTTGTAAGCTCACTAAAAGAATGTTACCAACCCAGTTAAAGGATGTACATAAATTTTCTACAATTTTTTTCAGTGGATATTACATGATTGTTCTTATATGTTAATTTCATATCTAAAAAGTAAAAATGTAATTTGTTTAAAGGACTCATATTTTCCTCTTTCCTGAAAGTAGAGGTTACAAAACATTGGTGATTGGCTGCTCTGTCTCCATTAGATATGTGTAAGTGTGTTTCAGAATAACAGATGAAATCTAGGCTTCCTCTGTGTACTTCCTATTTGTAAAGTCTGCTTTTATCAGAGGTTCAAAGCCTCTGTTTCTCCGCTGACGCAGGTAGAGCACAAAGATTAGGAGAAGCACCAGGAGACCAATGAAGACTCCTCCCAGAGTGGAGCCCAGCACAAACACAGCCGGCCCTCCATCTGCATCTGCAAAGATGAAACACAGGTGGAGATATTCATAGACTATATGATTCTGTAATATTCAACTGTTAACTGATACTTCAAAACAAACTTTCTAGCCCAAAAAAACCCACATCCGTCATGGAAAAGCAAGATGATTACAGTATTTTGCACAATGATGTAATGTATTAGACTCTTTTTTAGACGTTTCTTTCTACTTTGTCAGCTTTCTCATGTATATTAAAAATTAGACTTTATTGTTTGTCAATTACAGGGTGCCATCACTTATCAGTCTGTGCCAGAGATTAGTGGAGCATCTCTTCAAATTTTTTGAGCTGCAACTGTAGTGTAGAAAGAGATAACTTCTAAAGCTAGGCCAGGTGGAAGTTCATAAATTTAAAAGAATAGTTTGACATTTTGTTCTACATATTAAAGCAAGGTGTTAATTAGTGGACTTTAGAGGTGCTAGAAGGCAGATTTTGCTACCTTCAGACGGACCAAAGTTAGTTGTTTCTTGTCTTTTTCTAAGCTAAGCTAATGGGCTGTAGCCTCATATTTACCGTACAAATATATCCAAGAGCGTCACTTTGTGTTGAAATGTGATGGGGACATAAGGGCTCAAATTAGGGGTGTGAAGAGACACTTAGCTCGCAAGACATCACAATACGCAATATTAGGTTCACGAGAACAAGACAAAAACATCCTTAAACAGTGCTTAAATTTTGGTCTTTAAACACTTAATTTCCTGCATTCTTGTGAATGTTTCTGCACCAATTTATGGTGTAAATATTTTTATTTATATAAAAGGAAATACAAAATTCCAGTAGCACTTGAGATTTTAAAATATAGGGGACCTAACCCTGACATGGGGAGAGTTGTAACAACACCAATTCCACCAATTACAGATAAGATAGGAGTTAGGTGATCGTTTCAGTATGTACCTGCTTCCTCCCCAATCTGGCATGGTGGTTATCAAGGCTGGAAACAGACACATTCAAAATATATAGAGAAAAAAATTATTTTGAGGTAATAAAGTAAATTTTTTGACCAAGATTATATTTTGTTTATTATCTATACTATTGCAGATAAAATAGTTTGACTTACATTAGAATGAAATTAGTGCTCGGCAACGATTAAAAGTTTTAATCGTGATTAATCACATTGTTATGTGCAAAACTGAATAATGAATTCTAAAGTAGTGTATTGTGCACTTTTAATTTAAATGTACTGCTATATACACAAAAGTGCAATAACATGTGATTTGTAAACACTTTAAACAAATAATGTGCTTTTTACCAGCAGTATTCCCTTTACACAGTAGCAATAAAATATTTCTTGTAAATCTCAACTTAAACATTAATGTAATCAAATCAAATATAAAACCAAAGTTATTTGCCACTGCCAGGGCATTACCTTTTATCTAGCTTGTTAAAACAAGTTACTATCAGAGTCCAGAGCCACAATCATAACATCATAACAGGTACTTTCTGAGCAACAGGTTAACATATATAAATCTCTTTTCTTGTTGTTGTTTTTTCTGAACAGGTATCAGCAGAAATTTTTTTCTTTTATCAGGGAGCAGCATAGACAGTCTATGTTCAGTAGCAAGTGTCCCTGTTAGAGTGAGGTGAAGTGCTCGCCTCATGCACATGCTGCTGACGTTTTTGTACGCAACGCGCTGCATAAATCATTGGAAGAGAGACTAATGCTCACTGTTTGTTCCAGAATCTATTACTGTGTACTAAATAGGACATCAACAGGAGGGAATTCGCATGGCAGAGCCGCAAAACTAGATGAAGGCCTATCAGGTAGAGTTATATAACCTATAATTTTAACTTTAAATAGACAACAGCTGTTTAGCGCACAGAAGCCATTGCCATGGTTACTATCCATAGAGCGCCTGCCGTTTACTCGCGGAGCGCTTGCCTCCTGTTCACCTGAGGAGCGCAGAGCAACCCCGTGGGGCCAAGCGACTACGTTGTGATTTTACTACTACTACTTCTCTACTTCTCCCACACGCTGCATCCAACATAGTCTGCTGAAGCCTCCCTCCGCTGCTTGTTTGGGTGGGTAATTTGCAGGCTGATCAACATCCCACCCCTCATGTGACCCATGGTTTGACTGTATGTGTATTCAGAGCCAGTGAGCAACGGACTTTCAAAGTAATACTAACAATAAAAACTGCGTTAACATGTTGATAAATTAATTGTCGGTGTTAATTAATTCATGCGTTGACACAACAATAATGCCCTAATTAAAATGTAGTTTCTTAAGCAACATGTGATGCATTTTTTTCCTTTCTAATTTCAAACCACTATACTAAAATAGCTAGCTAAACATTGGCTGACAGGGCTGGGGCGGGTTTTAACACTTCTTTAAAAAGTGCTACAAACATCCTCTATACATACAACTAGGGACTTGCTTGATTTTAATATTTTACAGAGGGCCCTTTGCAGTCTGGGCCCACCAAGCCTGCACTACATGTTTACCAGCATTCATTTGTCAGCACTGTGACCTGTACTTCACATTCCCATTTTGTTCACATGTTGGCATGTGTATCAGCACTCATCTTTTCCAAACTCCTTCTCCGCTGGTGGAGAGGGCAGAGAAGTGTACAGGCAGCTTGTGAGAAATTCCAGTGCGCAAGAAAAAGTCCCCGTACGCCAAAGAGTAAAATATAGAAGTGCTTGTACTGCATACCAGTGAGTACTGGCCCACTTCAAGCACTGACTGTGACTCTGATTAAGAATATACACACAGACACACACCTCTTTTTTGTTAGACCTAAGGATGAACAATGATGCTCTTTAACTGAGTACATTTTAGTAGTATTTATTAAGTATACTGTTAAGTAAGTTTATGAAACTTTTATGATCAAGAACAGTGTCAAGCGGATTTCTTCTCAACACATCATCGCTGCGTTATTGTTTGGACACCACAATATCATATAGTGTGGCATCTATTTTTGCTTCTTTTGTCTAATTTTACAACTTACCCTGGTACTGGGGCAGGTTGTAACAAGGGAACACAAGTCATTTGACATCAACTCACGAGGTCTGTGATATTCTTGTAGAGGATTGAATTGGTGCCATTTGTAGTGAACAAATGTGGGTATTTTGTATAAAAGTATGAGAACTCTAGTTAAAAAAATAAAGCAAGTTATATTTGCTGAAGCAAGAAGTGTTACAACCATACCCAGTCTCCCCTATAAATATAACAGAGTATAATGCAGTGCAGCTCTCAGGCATTCTGAGCTGATTTCAGATCTGTTTCTCCTGTAGATCAACCTTTCTGTAATATCATCCCTGCTGAGTCAACACATATGTACACATGTATGCATTTAGTCTTCCATATTCTTTTGTCATGTTCAAAGGGAGAGAACGGAAAACTTGGCGAAGAAGAAACTGTGTCAAAAAGTTGTCAAAGTTATTGATTGGTGCATGCATGTTTTTGGGTCATTTTATAATCAGTAGCTTGTTTTTTTAGTTTAAGTTACTTTTTTTGGACAATGCACATTTGTTTCTTCTATATTTTAATTGCATTGCATGTTTTCTTATTGTGCAAATAAACCTTTCTAAAGCTATATTTCAGAAAGTTTTTATTGCTTTAGAAAAGTGGTGGGGACATGTCCCCAGTGTCCCCAGTGTAAATTACACCTATGAATATATCGATCTTCTCATCTAACTCCCTTTAAGAATGCGAATTTCACAAAATGTCACACTAGACTAATTCTTTTAACACTTGCTCACCATCCAGGGCAACAGCATAGGAATATCCCAGCTGCTCAGATGGAACATAGATCTCCTCGTTAGTGATCGGAGGGAAGAAGGGAACCATGTTGTAATCCCTGTTGTGACCGATCGGGGCCATCTCATCTGGGAAGGTGGCGTTGGATGGGCCAAATTTTCTCATCCACTTGTCAAAAATGGCATCAGTGAAAGCATGGAGCACCTGCAAGACAGGCAGCCAGGAACACCGCACGATTTTAATGACAACATCTCTACCATGTCATTTCAGAGTAAACCTTAAAATCAAATTCTGACCAGAAAGATGGGGTCGTTGGCCGCAGAGTGAGACAAAGCGCTGGTTCCGTTGAGCAAGGAGTGGACGAGGTTATGAAGGTTATTGACTGATTCATCCAGTTCCCCATTTGGTTTTTCGTACCCTTCAAGAGCATTTCTGTTACAAAGCACAAAGTCAGTTAAACAGTATTTTTGCAATTCCTCTTAAAACTAAAGTTAAACTAGCATGTCAACAATTGCTGACCATATTAGCAGGTATACATTTAACACTATTATTATTACTAAACAGTGGAGTTGTACCTAAAACTAAAGGAGGAGTTAGTGAAGTACGGAGGGCTGTCAAAGTCTCTGATTCCAAGACAGCTTCTGACGTCGTTCATGGTGGGCAGAGACATGTTACCTCTCTCCATTATCCCCCTCTGAATGGATCCCTCACTGGTGCCATTGCAAAGAGTCACCAGGCGATTGTAGTCATCCAAACTGGAAGAAAAAATTAAAATATTAAAATGTTTCACTGATTTCTACCATTCAAAACACATATTAATCTGCCCCACAATGTTAATTTCATTCTAATAGCCCACCACTAACTATTTAGTCTTTTCGTTCCCCTCTCATCAAAGTTTTGTGTTCACCTGTTACATACCACCCCCCATCTGGAGAATCTGGACTGGTTACTGATGAGGGACGGGTTATCTGGGTTTCGCCCCCCCAGCAGAGAGTCGGTGCACACATCACACTCACTTTGCCCTGTAGCAAAGTTCCAGTAAGGGATCGCAAAATTCTCATTGCCGGTCAGTCTCTGCAGGGTACAAACACATTTTATTGATAGTTACTATTAAAAATGATTTTGGTCATCAACATGGCTTTTTGACATCAAATATATACATCCTGATTGCTACACTGTGACTGTGACTTCCTCAGTTTGGATCCTGTCTAGGATTTATATGTCCTCTATTTCTCTTCCCAGAGCTTTCCTCTTTTTGTTCCTGGACCAATTATCTGTGTCTTATAAATCTTCAACATTCATTCAAGAATTATAAATATCTTGTGTTTCATCCAGAAGTTAGTTCTTTGAAGGACGGCATGTGTGTTACAAATAAATTGTCTTTTGGGTAGGTTATCTGCTCCTTAACAATTCAGTGCAAGAGTCTCGGGTATGTGTTTGTACTTTTAAAAATGTATTCACCAAAATGTCATTGATTAAAAAAATGGATGGATACATTCAATAGGAAAAATAACTGTTTGTAGAAGGTTTCTATGTAGCTGTAGTCTGAAAAGCACCTCCAAGAAATCACACACTCATGTGCCAATTTACAATTTAACAATAGCCCCAAATCACTCACAAAAACAAATATTGTATGTAGGTTTCCACTGAATAAAGCCCTAGCTTGAGCTCCAACCACTCCCACTCCCTCCCACTCATCTGTATCCACATAAATAAATCCACAGGGCAACTCGTACAAAATGTAGCTGTTTACTTAGATACAACATATATGACACATTTAACATAACATTCCACAAATATTACCAATGTAATATAAATGCACTCTAAATTATCCACATGCATATTAAGTGCAAGGCATCAAAAAATAAACTTATTGCATTTCTGTAAATGTGAACTGTAAATACACCAGCCTATAAATATTCCTTCCAATTTCTTCTACATCATTGAACCATGTAAATTACTGGTTTAATCAAAAGTAAACCCTTATAATGTTACTGATTCAATCCGGTCATGACAAAGAAATTACTTTAATAACACGTTTTCAGAAGATACCTGTAGCTCTCTTTCCAAGCTGAGGATGTGATACCTGTGCCAGGTGATAAATGCTGGTCCTTTGTGTGAGAAATCAATGGCTTTGAATGGACGGCCAGGACCTTCAGGGAAACAAAGTGTTTAATGAGCTCATCTCTTTGATCACAAGGCATTAATGTCTACATCACACACTATTATATGTAATAATATTAATACTAATCCACATCTGAGTAAAACAAATTACTTTAGATTTCTCACCAAAAAAATGTATAATTAAATTATATAATTACAGTCCAGAATAAAACTAAACATAAAAACTAAAATAACTAAATTTATGGAGTTAATGTTTTCTAATGCATAAACACAGTAACACAGGCCTGTATTTTCAATTCTAATCAACTAAGATGCAGAGAATTTTTAGGTTACACTTTGTTATTATAACTGTAAATATACCTCAAATGTATGTGGTAAAAAAAATGTGGATTAGGACTATCATGTTACCTCCTATTATTTGAAAATCTCTGAAACAATTACCATTTTAATATTACATTACATTACAATTAGCTGACGCTTTTATCCAAAGCGATTTACAATTGCTATACATGTCAGAGGTCACATGCCTCTGGAGCAACTAGGGGTTAAGTGTCTTGCTTAATATATGGCGATGTTCCTATCAATAAGTAACAAGTTCCAGTATGTCAAGTTATCTGACACTGCTCACTTACCAAGAAGAGTGTCTCGGACAGAGTAGTAATGTTGCCAAACAAAGAAGTCGTAGATGGAGATGTTGGCGATCTGGGGCTCATTTCCATTTGGTCCAAGGAGTCCCAGCCAGTGCTGAGTGGCAATGACATAGTCTGGGTGGTCGGTGGTCTTCGCCAGTTCCAGCACATTGAGGAACTCCTGGAGCTCTTCAGGGGTCAGGGAGTGGATGTTCTTCCGTACAACGGGGACTTTCCTCTGGTCGCAGTTTAGTCCGGTCCAGCCAAATTTACACTGACCACAGTCATAACCTGCAAAGTTACCTGCAATACAGAGAACTAAAAGTGTCAAATCATGTTGATGATACATAGGGCTGAACAATTAATTGAATAATTATTGAAATTGCAATATAAAGCACAATGTCCAAATTGCAGGAGCTACAATTTTTATTATAGCCATTATTTAGCTGAATGTCCTTGCTCACCAAAACAGCATTTTAGTTGAACTGTACATGACTCACCAGTACATCTGCAAGTCTGATTGAAGAATTTCGTCGGCCACCTCTCTCTATCATCAACATTTCTCAGTCTGTACGGTCCTCCCCAGGGTTTGTTGTCGACTTGAACAGCCGAGCAACTTCCTCTCCCCGACAGAGAGCCACACACATTGGCAGGATCTGATCCCAAAACGGGGCAGCACTGCTTGGACAGGATCCCCTTGACTGTGCAGCACACACGGGGAAACTGAGCGTCTGCAGGCTCGGGCCAGAAGAGTAAACAAAGAAGAGCAAGACCCAGCGCGTTCATCATATTTCGTTTGTTTCAGTGGTGACAAATCAGTTTGTACATAAACTATCAGCAGTTATACGGTCAATTAGTTCCCCCAGGGGAGTGTGGAATCTCAGTCTGCTATGGTCCCCAGTTGTGTATCTTCAAATTAGATTCAGCAATAGTTTTAACATCTGCGGAAATAACACTTGAAGCCAAATAATGTTGTGTTCCAGCTTGTTTCATGCATATTAAGAAAGCCTCTAATTTCTGTTCTTGCTTTAGTAGAGCTGCGGAGGATTAAGCCAACGGTCTTGTGATGATCACCTGACAACAGAGCTGTGAACAGTATGCACACCAAGAAACTGCCTGAAGGGATTATGGAGTGTTGAATAGCCACTTTGTACAAAAAAAACTTGTGTCTGATTCACTACGTAGAGCAAATCTGAAAAAAGATAACGCAACAGGTTAATACTTCAGCAACCTGCATAGACATTTGTTCAAATACAAATAAATTATGTTTTGATGTGTGAACAAATACCATAAGGAATAGTTCTGATAACACGTTTTAAATAGAAACATTGTCTCAAAACAAATTAATTGATTTGTTGCATTCTCAGCTATCCTAATAAAAGACCTGAACTGAACTTAAATAACTGAAAATCTGTTTTCAAGTCATGATAGGTAGATCTACTGTGTAAATCTTAATGAGGGATTAATCCCTTTAATCCAACCACAAGTTACATTTTTCAGAATTGTTTGGAGCTATTGTTGCAGATTTATTCTCAGCTTTAAGTTCCATTAATCAAACTTTTCATTCCAGACCTGAGATGACACAACTGTGCATGTGAGGTGAGAAAAAAGCAACTGTAGGAATCACAGGACTTGATGGTTCTAGTTTCAAAACACATCATGGTCTAATCTTCACATACCCACACTGGTTATGCAGTGGTAAAGAGGAGCAGTTCATTTACTCATGTACTGTACTGAAGTACAATTTTGAGGAACTTGTACTTTACTTACCTAAAGTAAATATGTGTACTACTTACACATTACACATCGCTTAAAGTCATATATAATAATATATCAGTCAGAAGGTACATCAGAACCAATAATTTTACTTTGATACTTTAAGCATATTTTACTGATAATATTTCTGTACTTTTACTTAAGTAGGATTTAGAATGCAGGTCTTGTACTTGTTTGGAGTATTTTTAGGCTACATTTTTGTGTTGGTACTTTTACAAAAGTAAAATGATAATAGTATATACTATATAAATCAAGTCTAAAAAACAGAATTCTAAGAAATTATCAGAATATTGTAGCTTACTGTGACCAAATAGCCTTTGTTCCAAAGTACTGCAGTGCAGAGTCAGTCTGCACAGTCAGTAGGCCTATGTGTAGGCTATTTAGCTACTGTAAGCTTATGTATAACAGTGCATGCATAATGGAACTGTGACATGTTCAGGAATAATGTAAAGAATATAGCCGCAAGCGGGAATGATTGGGATCCAAGCTAGTCATGAAAAATGCATTTGACATTGACAAACATTTGACATTTTCAGAGGAGAAGAACAGATGCAGATTAAAGTGATGAAAGAATTTGGAATTTGAGATAATTGCCAAAACGCAAACTTGATTTTTACAGCATCACCTTGAGATAAGAGAGTGTCATTATATTATCTACCTGACTACTGGGTGAAATGTTCAACCCATCTGCAACATTTTGTTGTTTCAAAGTTTCAAAGTTTAAGCTGCAGAAACACTTTTTAGCAGAGAAAATATGAAAGAAAGTGCTAGGGATCCAAATAAAACGTTAAACTCTTTATGATCTGAATTCCCCCAATGTCAGTAAGTCTGACTTGTTCACGTGGGGATGTGAACCCTGGACCTGAAAATCTCCAAAGTAGGTGACTTACTGACGGAGCTACTGGTTAGAGACCAATTCCACACTTTTTTAACAACTTTATTTGAATGTGCAAATCTTACAATCGTATCTAGCATGTGCAGTGGTGCAGTTTTGTGCGTGGCTGGCAATCGCCTCACACAAAAACACACATAATTCAACTATCAGTCGACTATAGGCAGGATTTGGCGATTCTGATTCGACTATGTAAATCCTTAGTCAGGGACAGCCCTAGAAATCATATATGGTACTGTAGTAATGTCTCTTTGGAACAAAGCTCTTATAGATCTATTATTACAGGAATGACCGGAAAAAAACTATTTTACCAATAGAAGTGTCAGATGGGAATAACAAGGGCAATTGTTGTGCAATAACCCTTGTTTGAGATTTCAATAGCATACAGACTCCAGGGGGTATTGCACCAAAGAAGCTGTTTCCACATACCTTCTCACAACTTGAGGTAGTGACGTCACATGTGCCAGACCTGGATAGTTTTGTCAGTTTAAACTTAAAACACTTACAACAGTCAAGAACAGTCAAGTCAAAAAAAATTCTGAAAGAAATCACATATCATTCTGTTGGTTTTGGGTTTGTTGTCAGTTATTTTGTGGCACTTGATCCAACACTGAGCAAAAAGACAATGTTGTGCATACTGTTATTTAAGTTACTGTTAAGTTATAGCAAGATACAGAATATCATTGCAGATTCACCATTTGACCAATTGAAAAAAACCCTGAAACACTTGATGTCGGCCATCTAGAGAATGTCTGTGTCAATTTTGATAGTGTTTGAACAAAGACTTGTGGAGATATAGATGTTAATTGATTTAGCATATTCCGAAAAATATAGTGACTGACTTCTGAATTGACCATAGGTTGCAGTGAGGCAAACATTTGTCACATATAGATTTTTTTGAAGTTTGATATGAGAAATATATGTAAATTTACATTATTTGTAATAATGGTGAATGCATGTGCCATCCTCATATCACCTTCAATAATTTACCATTTAATCTCATATAACCTTCAATAATTTCAATAACAGCCGAACTATCCCTCAAAGCACAAATTGGTCAGTGGTTGGTCTTCCAAGAATCTGAACCACAAAAACGCCCTGAAGGCAGACTAGTCTGAAAAAGAGTTCTTGTGGATTGGGGTGTGTGATGCTGGGGATACAACACTGGATTCCATGTAAACAAGTGTCTCATTCAGGTTTGAAACTGTAGGCCTATTCAGGTTTGTGGACATGTGGGACACACGTTTTTTCTCTTTGTATTTCTTAGCCTATCTTTTTATTTTTAGGACGTTTTAGAACCTACTACCAAATGAATTTCCTTTTTAAGAATAAAGTCGAGCTTGACTTGAATTGGAGTAGCATATTCAAGAGGAGAAATCAATTAGGCTATAGCCTATCGTAAATTCTATCAATTGAAAACACACAAAGAAATTTAGTAACTCATCCTCATTCTCGTTTTTTTGTATGTTTTTCATTAACCATAAAGTTAAAATCCATAACTTCCCATCCATTCACACCTGTAGGGTGAATTTGGGTAATCTCTAATTTTGAATTGCATTGAACTGCAATTTATTTGGGTAGGACATTAGATTAGACCTTTCTGAAACCCCTTGGGTGTTTTCTAACTACACCTGAAGAAAGCATGTAGGTATCATACACAACACAGACATGCCACACCTATTACTGTTCTTTGTACCAAAAAAAGTCAGAATTTGATAATCTGGCACAGGTCACTTTGTAAACTGAAATAATTGTAAAAGGCTTTGTCAAAAAACACCTTACTTCATGCCTGTCAAACTCATTGTCACCATTTTTTAAAACACTATGAAAAAATTAAAGCTGCAAGCAGCGTTGGGCGGGCCCTCGCACTTATAGCGCGTCCGGGCGTGAGCCGGCCGCGTTGCATATTCTGGAGCTCTGCCGGTGCGGCTGTGAATTTGCTACGCGGTTCCGACGCCGCATGAAGGTGCTATATGTCACTTCCTGTGTCCCCTATGTGGAGCTACATAGCACTTGCCGCTATGAATATAAATCGGTATTGCCGTGTAGATGTCTGCGGGGTAGGAGAGTTATCAAGCACGTAAAGTTTGGTGCAGACGTGAGCATGTACACTGAAGTTACAACAACTTCCTGTGTCATGGCGAAGAGTTGATCTTTGACGCCACGCCACGGACACGCCCATTGACGAAAACTCACAGATAGCACAACTTTTCATCTTCACTGCCTTTAGAAGGCACTTTTTGTCTCTGTGTTCATAAGCATAGTGGGATATACTGCGTGGCACCTCCTTCTTCTTTTTGGGATTTGGCTTTGGCTTTGACCCTTTTCCCTTGTCCTTCCCCTGAACGTAGGTGAGATGTTCATCCCTTGTAGAGTTCATGGACGGTGGTTTTGATCTCTCCCGGATGGAACATTCCTTAGACAAAAAATTGAACCTGACTGACGCTCCCTGCCTCCACTAGTTCCTTGTACTAGACTATATTTTTATTTTATTTGAGAAAACATGTATATCTATATATATATACATATGTTTTATTTATTTATTTTACTCTCAATCTATTTTATGTCTTGATTGGTGGAACCTTGAGTACCTGCATCAGTCTCTAGCATGATGTTTTTTGTTTGTAGTATGTTTTTCATAGTTATGTGCATCATGTGTTGTCACAATGGATGTTATCTTCTTGCTGCAACACAAATCTCTCTTTGGGTATAAATAAGTAACCTAACCGAACCAAACCTATAGTTCCCTCCATTCTATTCTCCGTTGGTTGTGATTCTTACTACTTTTCTCATTTGCCTCTCTCTCCTCACTCTTTCTGTTGCCCACTCTTTTCCTGACGCTGTTGTGCCATTGTATTCTGTAATACATTTAACTGAGTTAATTAAAGGTCTTAGATGTTTTCATATTTTAGCTGACTAATACGAATACAAATATTGTTAATACAAATGTTTTAATCTTTTTTCCTTTGTGTTTTATTTTTCTGCCTTTGTGAAGCACTTTATAATATGGATTCTGAAAAGTTCTTTACAAATAAAGATTGTTATTATATTATAAATGCCACATTTTTACATGATAAACAACTACAACATATGTGTGTTACAACGATCATACCTGTAAAACGTCCAATAATAGCTAGGCATGTATTTATTTTAATTGTGTAGCACAGATTTATATAGAGAGGCTATTGTTTGAGACAGGTGCTTATGTTTAGGTGTTTATGTACCCTACGTATATTACCCTCATTAAATCATGTGATTTTAGTCTCAAGAGAGCCATGCTAAACCTATAGTAAATGTTCTGTTGACTAGATTTAGTTATATAAATAAACACACAGGAGCTTAGTTGTC